TTTGCCAAACATATTCAAAATATTGTTAAATCGTCAAATCGAATGTTAGGATTCATTATTAGACAAACTCGGGACTTTACGAATAACAATACTATAAAATTATTATACTACTCACTTGTAAGAACTAAATTGGAATTTGCAAGTATAATATGGTCAGGTGAATATCGGTCCACAATCAATGCAGTGGAGAAAATACAAAATAAATTGCTCAGGAAGCTATATTATAAACAGTACCGTATTAGAGCTGACTGTGAAATTATCAGATCCAATCAACTTAGACATGACTTCAAAGTTATCTCTTCAGAAACTAGGAGATCCCTCACCATGATGTATTTTTTTTATAATGTAATAAACAACAGGATAAATGCACCAGGAATCCTATCATTACTGATATTCAATGTCCCTTCCCGTAGAACTCGGAGAACTTATCCATTCAATATTCCGTTGGTAGTTACAATGAACAGATCCCCTCTCGTGACCATGCTACGACTGGCCAATACATGTAGTGTGCTTGTAGATTCAGATTGGACTCTACCTCAGGGAGTATTTCGTAAAGCAATATTAGATTATTTCTTGACTACATATGTTTGATACGGTATACAAATTTATTATATTTAGTATTTTCATCTGTGCACGAATATGATTTTCTATTGATAAGCTAATTTACATATATTATTATTATCGATTTTATTGCACAACTATATTCAATAACAGAGTATATATAGTTCATTGCTATTCAACCTCAAAGTTTTTGAGTAGGTACACAACTGACTCTCATGATTTATAATAATGTGAAGATTATTTGATATTCATTCCCCATGTGATTAGACCTTTGGTCTCTTTGGATGCAAATAAATAAATAAATAAATAAATAATGAGGGATCAACTTTTGCAAGCTCAAGGACATCTTGTACCTGTCAAGAAGATATAACTCGTATCTTGGATTTTGGCTAATTTCTTGATTTCTGATTGTTTGATCTGGAGGTGTATTAATCGTACGTACAGTAACCTTAGTTACAAATACAAGTACAAATACAAGTTTCATTTCTCATTTTTCATAAACATTAAGTTCTGAACCACCATCACAATCGTTGGAATTAGGGTACACTGTTATGTGATATACAGGTTAAAAACGCATATATAATATTTATTCCATTAGTTTGGTTACTGGAAAGGTTATGAAAATTTTGGAAATGCGTCGTCTGAATATAAATTGCGTCATGGGGCTCTGTCCTCTTTGGAACAGTAAAATAATTATTTGGTTGTCTATCATTATATTTTTATTGAACTCAATTGTATCTGTGCTGTATCTATTTGTTTGTCGTCTATAAATATGGTGATTTTTCATTTCGTCTGATGTTTCTTATTTTAATGTTGTTTCATCATTTACTTTGCAGAACAAATTAACAATTCCGAATTTATTCTCTTCACTCATTGTTTTTCTTGAATTAATTTCAGGAAATATTTTTTATCTGCTTTGAAATGAAAAATATGAATGATAAGTAGTTTTATTTATCAAATTATTAATGAATGTTTCCAAATCTTCATCAATATATATATATATATATATATATATATATATATGTTTGTG